TTTTTTTTTTTTTTTTTTTTATTTTTTTTTTTTATTTTTATGTATGTTGCTTATATGAGTTATGACCATTATCCTTATATACTTGAATCTCTATTGCATTTTCGATTGGGAATGTTGGGGATTCATCTTTATTTTTCAGTCCTTGATTCTCAAGTGTTCGAAAGATGCATTTTTTTTCTACTTTTCTATTTACTAGTAAAAATGCACGTGCATCACACGTGGTGACTATTTTCCTGAATTCTTTTGTATGTCTAATTAATTCATTGAAACATGAAAAATATGAACATGTAGCATAAGAAACGTTTAAAACAATTATCCGAGTTTAAAACTTGTTTATACACAATAGTTGTGAAGAAATACTCTATTTCTTCATGTGTGGTTTAGTTTCAATAAGACTTTGGTCATGGAAGTATAGTTGTCTTGTAGCCAATATGTAATTGGCTAATTTGGCTATGAGTATACAAATATCTTTCTGCTTTTTTTATGTTTTATTTTAATTTTGAAACGATAGAATTCATTACTGAAAACACATAATTACAACTAGACCAGAGCCGAAAGGTGGAGGCCTACTAAAGGTAGTCTAAATGTTAAAAAATAAACGCTACAAATACACAAAAGACTTCCCAATAGAAGAATACACAGCTCCCCAACGGGAAAATAGACACTCCAAAAGCGGAGAAAAAAACAAAGACGCACAATTTAGAAATGAATTTCTATATGGTTGTCCAAATGAATTTTTGGTATGTTGTCCAAATTTTTTGTACGTTGTCCAAATGAATTTCTTAATCATCATATTACTTTAGAATTTTACACAGTCCTTTAGATGAGTTTAAACTCATCAAAAAGATTATTGGACTACAACTTTAATTTTTGTGTTAGTTGATTTCTCAACATTTTTAACTCTAGATAAAGAAGTTACAAAGGGCTAGATTTCATTGACCACATGGTTTTCAACAAAGTAATTTTCTTCATCTTATTTCAAAATGATGGTTTGACCGAATTTGCTGAAATTATTCGGTGGATTGCCGGACAACTGGTAGAACTTTTCAAAAATTTGCACGAAAGCCAATAACTTTCTCACTAATATTATATTCATCATTTTTCATTATATTTTCTAATTAAAAATATTTAAATTTAAAACTGTCTTTTGTTTTGCCTTTTGTGTCTCATCCAATTTTATTAATTATGCATTACGTAAAGACTCAAAATATTTATTTGTTTTGACATACAAACTTAATTCACTTATACCAATTGGTAATTTTAAACGTAATTGTGTTGTCCTTTCATTTGGTATCATTGCAGCAACAACTGTAAATGATGCAATTGCAAGTATTATATTTAAATTTCTTTAATGTGAAACAATAAATTTACATTATGTGAACTATTTGCGAATTCCACTTGGCCCGTCAAGTTGATATGCATATTTAGAAGATCGTACAAACTAATATTTTACCCATACAATTGTATGTATATTTAACTTTTTTAAGTGTTGGTGGTATGTACATTTTCTTAGGCAGTTAGTGCTATCCATACATTTCATGAAAGCATGTATTTTAGAGTACTTCAAAATTGGTGCATATACACTAGGGGAAGGGTACAGTCCCGTTACGGGAGGGTTTCGTTGTTTTTTTTAAGCGTAGATTACCATCAGTGATGTACATGTGTATCTACGGCTAAAAAAAACAATGGACGGGATTGTAGCATTCTCCTATGCACTAATAACATTATGTTATTGGAATGGTAAGAATGAGATTAGACCTAAATGATCATTCTTTTACTCATTCTCAATTCCTTCCATGATTGATATATTGTTTTTTGAAGGAATGACGTGTAATAGCAAAACTCATCTCCACGGTATTAGTCCATACATAGCTAATGCATGATGTTTTCATTATAATATCTTTGGTATTTCGTTTCTCAAAAAATTAACCTAATAAATACAATATAAAATATATATTATGATTTATTTTATTATAAATCACAATTAAAATTATATTAGAAATGATTTATTTTAAAAAATAAATTAAAAAATAATAACAAAAAAAATAATTTTATTTTGTATTTATTATTCACATTTTACCCCATTATATTTAACATTTTTTTTTTCCCTAAAACAATAGCGAATATTATATAGGGTAAAATATTTTTTCCCATCCAAACTATCACGGTTTTGACGCATCACCATATAAACTATTTTTTTTTTTTACAAACCACCATATGAACTATACGGGTTTGTCATGTGCCCCCTAACAGGATATAAAAGTGGGTTTGACTAAAAAAAGCTGTTTCTAATGGTATTTTAATAATCTCACACATTTTTTAGAAAATAAAAAAGGAAAATGAAAAAAATGATTTCAAAAAATAAAATAAAAAATAAAATGAGAAATAAGGCTCGTTCCAAAATGCCTTGGAGCAGAAATACCTGCTACTCCATTGGAGCCTTGCCAGCCTGCACCGTCGCCGGTCCCACCACCGCCTCCTGCAGTAGAAATCGATGAATGCGACGACAATTGAGGGCACATCACGTCGAGCTCATAGTGGGTATGTGGCGAGAGGCGGCGGTGGGGCCGACGATGGTGCAGGTCGGCGTGGCCTCCGTGGCGTAGCAGGTATTTCTGGTCCAAGGCATTTTGGAACGAGCTTCATTTCTCATTTTTTTTATTTTTAATTTTTTGAAACCAACTTCTTCATTGTTTTCATTTTTCTTTTTTTTTTGTACTTTCTGAAAAATGTGTGAAATTACTAAAATGCCATTAAAAACAGTTTTTTTCAATCAAAACCACTTTTATATCCAGTTTATGAGGCACATTGACAAACCCGTAGAGTTCATATGGTGGTTTGTAAAAACAAATAGTTTATATGGTGATGCGCCAAAATCGTGATAGTTCGGATGAGAAAGTATTTTACCATATTATATAACAAAACGCATAAATGTGCAAAGATACAAACCCTAGCTGAATAAGACAACCAAAAGGTAAATAAAATGGGAGGACATGTCTGACGACTGCCTAGAATTCCGACTCTAGCAACGCTAGAAACCGAAAATAAGACTCACAAAACAGCTACACAACAAATTACAAAATCTACAACTAAAAATCCCCCCACAGAGAATATAGACAAGAGCAGGTCCTCACAGGATAATAAGTTGCTCCCCTCGCGCTGAGGCAAACGACCCAAACAAGAAAAAAAGGACACAAACACTTAGACCGTCTCCAACCGAGACGGAAAACCCAAAAGTTGCAGTGAGAATTCCTCTAATCGAGCGGCAAATCCGATCGCAAAATGCGATCTTTCTCTTCTCTCTCTTCGTTTGGACGCAATTTTGCGTCTGACGCAAAAAATTGCGTCTGACCTTTTTTTTTCATTTCAGTCCATTTTTTTTGTCTCTTTCATCTTCTTTATTTTTATTTCATTTTAGTTCCTTTATTTAATTTATTAGATAATATGATAATTACATTAATGAATATTATTTATATATTTATTTAAAATAATTATAATGTAAAATAATAATAAAATTAATTTCATAAGTATAATATTTAAAATAATAAATGTTATATCTATCATTTAATTTGCACTAATACAATGAAAAAAAGTAACAGTTTTTAAAATGTGAGTATATGCGCTAGACCATATATGGTCTAGAGTGTAAATCTGCACTAAATCATATATTTTCAAAAATAACAGTTTTGATTCAATCCGTACATAGATGTATATATATCTTCTTCACTTTTAAAATGTGAATATATGTACATAGATGATTCAATCGATCTATCATTTAATTTGCACTAATACAGTAAAAAAAAGTAACAGTTTTTAAAATGTGAATATATGTGCTAGACCATATATGGTCTAGAGTGTAAATCTGCACTAAATCATATATTTTCAAAAGTAACAGTTTTGATTCAATCGATACATAGTTTTAATTTTATTTGTGTGGTGAAATTTTAATTTTTATTGAATATTTATTTCTCCGATTTTATTATGTATAATTAATTTTAATTACATAAAGTCCAAATTGAATTTAAAATAATAGTGTGATTTAATTTGTAAAGTTGTAAAATATGTGGGTAATATTAAAAAGTTATAAAAGTTGGTGTAAAAGAGAATATTCTGGAAATATTCTTTTGAGTTTGAGAATGAGTTTTTCGGTTGGAGATGAATTATAGCAAAATGGGATAGTTACTGCAAAATGGGTTTGAGTTTGGGTTTTTCGGTTGGAGATGGCCTTAGGCAAAGAGCCCAAACCTAAAACACAACCCTGCCACACAAAACAATCACAAAAAAGACAAAAAAAAAAACACTAGCCCTCCCTCTACAGCAACTTCGAACCACTCCTAATCATACTAGCAGCCACCAAATCAACCCAGGGATCCCACAGCATGAGAAAATCGACCCCTCCCCTGCCAAACCGCCAACTGAATCGAAACTCAAACCACGAATCCAACCCAAAGCCAATTCTCCCCAACGCTAGAAAACACCAAGAAAGTTCCTAACACCGCCATACCGTGCCCCCTAACACCACTAGCAGACTCTGTAGTAACAGTGTGCACCCTGACCCAACCCAGAGAATCGGGGAAAAAGGAGCTGTCTCAATGCCGCAACCACAACCCCATTTTAGGGACTTTCATAAATCTTTATATTTTGGTCTTTATTTACTATTTTTCGTAGATTTTTTTAAATTCTTAAACTTTTTGTTTCGAAACTTGATTTTTGCGATGAAAGTATGTTATTGCAAATAAGTGATGTGTGCGAGACCAAGTTTTTTTGGGGACGTTGATAAATTTTTCTATTTTGGTCTTTATTTACTATTTCCCATAATATTTACAAAAATACATTTATAATAGTTTATAAATATTTTATTTTATTTATATATATATTATACTTATTTTTAAATAAATTTAAATTACAAAATTATACTATAACGAAACTACGTATGCTTAGGGTTAACATAATGAAATATATTATATATATATAAATATTCACTTATTGTAAGATGAGTATAACAATATAAAAAAAATATTTGCTAACAATATATTATATTTTATTAAATAAAAATATTATTAATATTATCATCAATAAGAAAATAATATTAGTACAGTCGAGTTCGCATGAAGATGAAGTGATCCTTTTTCGATTGAATAAACTAAGGAGAAAGGTTCCCCAGGATTTCAACCTTACGCGACCGGACATTTCCAGAATCCCTTACTGAGCCTACGAGGCATCTGATCTTTTTCTACCAGGTCTTTAGTATTTCATCGAAGGAAGGGAGAGAGTATAAATATAAGATAATAATATCACTCCGTCTTATTAATTTGCATACCAAACATCTCAATGAAGAAACTTGTTCTATTAATTTACCATAATCATTTCATTATTCAAGTCATTCAATTCCTATTAAATTTAATTCCATCATACCAATCATGCAATAATATGATTTTCAACTAATCTTCTCAATTTATTTGAGATTTGGAAGGAGATGTGTTCATTTACATATTTGATAACATTTTGGTAATACTGCAATAATAAAAAAAATTTCAAGTTACTTGTTTGAAATACAAACAAACACATTATCTATATAAAAAATCTCTATAAGATTTGACATTATTTGAAAACAATTTTTCATAACACCTTTAATATTCACTATATTCACTGGGATTTAAAACATTGTTGTATCTCATAAATTCTCTTAATTCATTCATCTTAATAGTCAATTTTTGTTCCCTCGTACATAATTCTCTGAAATTTTTTTAATAAAAATATTTTATCGCGTCTTTACGAAGTACATAGAAAATTACTAAAAGTAGCATTGTTTTAGAGTTTTGGTTGCAACTCGAAATACTTTTGAGTTTTGATTCGCTTCATAAGTCCCACTTGACTATTTTAGATGGTGAGGTGGCAAATTGATAACCGAGCAATATACCATCTAAGTTAAGATCAATATTGCATGTTGCTTCTTGAAATTTTTGTATATCATCAATCATGATTTCACCATTATAAAGATATTAATTGCCTCTTTCGCCTGTCATTTATATATAATTATCTTTGAGAATAGTCAGAGTCATTGTTGACAATTCTCTTGGCATAGTGCTAATAATGGACTAGATCAAAATGGCTCAATTCAAATTCTAGTGCTTCTTCTATTAGTGAAGTTTCTAGAAAAAAATATATCAAACGACGCAATACATCTTGGGTTGTTATGGAAACAACCTCCTTGTATAATTACAAGGGTAAGGTTTGCGTACAACTGACCCCTCAGACCCCAACCCGTTTGAGAATATAGTGGGTACGTTGATGATGATGTTGATGAATAGTCACTATAAAACTTATATCTATATTTAGTGGCAATTACATTTTGATAAGAGATATGAATTGCAAAAAACTTACCGTTGATTGTCTACTTTAGAGTTGCATACTTGAATCACAATTCATTTTATCATATTCTTTTAAAATTTAAAAATCCAACAGTTTCTTGCTAAACACACGTAGATGGTGGTATTTCATATATGCATGGCTCTTGCATCATGTGTTTTACAACTACATCCAAAAGTCTAGTATAATTTTATTGATTAGGAAGACTGACATGAACATGTCTATCAAGTTGATCGAAGTTCAAATTTATAATTAGACTTCAACATTATCAACATATTAGCTTGCGGCTATAATCTTTTTGGAAATTCAATTAAGCAAACATGAGTAGTTTTATCTCAAAAAATATTTTCCTCTCAAACCAATGATTCTTTAAAGTATATAATTTTATTCAAAGTACTCCTGAGGTCAAATATGATAGATGTTTTGCATGTACGTTGGTATCTTTTGTACAGGTATACGTTGAAATTACAAACATTTTTTATTAAAAGTTAAAAAATAAATTTATAGAATTTTAATAATTTTTCGAATAGTCAATTATTGTTTTGAAAAGCAGTAAGCCATTTGCCAAGTTCATGCAAAAATATTTGCAAGATTCTGATGGTGGTTGATACATCACATAAATCCAGGAATAGTATATTCATGAGAAAGCAATAATAAGTAGACATTTGTATTTAGTAGTAGGGGCGGATCCAGAAAAATGAATTGGGGGCTACGAAATATTTTTCGATAAAGACATATTTAACAACAAAGACATCAAGTTGCAATTTTGGAATTTAAGAAAAAAAAGTTTTACAAGAATAATTAATTATTCCCTTGCAATAGACAACAAGAAAATATTGCATGTTGCAATGCACTGATGCATAAACTTGTTCAGGCCCAAGCAATTGACTACTTCTGCAAACATGTGATATTTGATTAAGATGAGAAATATTTGAGAAATGTCTTATCTAAAAAAAATAGATGTAGAACATAATATGTCTTCAGTATCATTGCCAGATTATTAAGTTTAAAGAGCAAAAATGGATATTCTAGAATGTTGTTCAAACTATCAACTATGCCTGAAAATTTCATACTCACGACCGAATTATCAAATCTAGATTATTCATACATTCAACTTGATTAAACCCTAAAATTAAATTGTTCAA